CGTTAATGACTTGCTCAGGGTCATTTCATGTCTGATGGCGCTGAGGTTCGAACATAGTACCTTGAGGGTACGTGTACAACTTAACCACACAGCCATGATGAGGTACACCACCTGCAGGCGATGGTTTGGCTTGACTTTTCATAGCAAAAAGTGCTCTCTTTTCAACGTTAGAAACCGCATTGTTTTATCTGTTTCCAATAAAGCGTTATTCAATACTTGAGAGACTCTAGTGTATTTGAAATCGATGGTAATATATTCAAAAACAGTTCCTAATTTGCTTTACATTTTGAAAAATTCTTCTTTATTCTTTTTTAACGATGCAACTGATTTTGGACGGAAATGAGACAGTAAAAAAATATAATGTAAACAGTACTCTATGAAATTGTACATGCTTCACTTGTATTATTATATCGAGCAGTAGCGGTTGATGGTCTTGCCGAGTTTTGTTGTGTCGATCTCATTATAACAGTCAATTGTAACATTGGTTGATAATAATTATTTCTCATCCATTGTTCTTTATAGAGCATAAATTTTTTTACTTGTCGTTGTCTACCAGCAACAGACACACTACTCACTACCAGTAAATTATTTTGTGTATGAGATAATTCAAAAAATTCATTATTGCTATCAATTCGATCACTCTCAAACAAACATTTGTTTTCAAATTCATCTGGACTAAATGTTGCACATAGAATGTACAAAAGTCGGATTTCTGTTGGAGTCAGATAAGCCGTTGCAGTAGTTGAACAACGATATGCACGCAATCGACTTAGATCTTGATCAGTATAATCAATGACCGTCATTATACAATCTAAATAATATTGCAATTTAGCAATACAATTATTTGGGATTTGAACGGTGGTACCAAACTGTCTAATATCATAATTATTGCGTTGCCATAAAGCCATTCTTCTTTTTTGATTTGAGCAAAGAATAATTTGATGAGAATTTTTGAGATCTATTTATTGAACAACGAAATCAATGTGGGTAGAGTCCCCATATTAAAATATTTCACAAATGATTGTAAAAAAAACAATGAAAAGGAAGGGAACCTAATGGTGAATTCTGTGACGAACTCATTTGTGACTATTTTTCTTTTTCTACGCATTGGGGAAAGTACCGAAAATGAGAAATTTTGTGATCATCAATCAATAACCTGGAATGATTTAGTTATTCACTACTTTTCTTATGACAGAACGAGTGGAGGAAATAAATGAGAAAGAAAAAATTTCTTATTTTCGGTACGTTCCCTAATGTATAGAAAAAGTAAGAAAGAAAGAAATGCACTTACCCATTTTTGACGTTCGGATTGCCATAAGTCAGCAACCTTAAGTGGCAAAGTATTGAAACTTACAGTATAGTTAGGTAATTCTGAGACCTAGCTCTGTTATAAAATTCATTTCATTTGGCCTTCCTGTTACGATTCTGGGGCTACCGAAAAACAGCGGTAATGCACTCATTCAAGAGGCCCAATTCCATTAGGACAATTCAAAAAAGTTAAAATTTCTGGGAATTTTTCCGTACTGTGAAAAAGTCGTTTGCGTGAGTTTGCAGCTAAGACAACAGGCTTTCGATGCCCAAATAAAATTTTCGAAATCTAATTTCGAAGTTTTGAAGTTGTGTGGATCAGAACTTTATTCCACCGATGTATAAACATCTCAGGACAAATGTAAAAGTAAAGTATGTATAAAGTAAGTCGTTTATTCTTCCAAAAGTACATCATTTTTTGCATTGAAAGAACATACAGATCGTCGATGAGCTGGTTTCAAATTCTTTCTTTCTTAACGTTTTTGTGCATCCGCATGGACTTCCAAATTAATTGGCTTGTTTTGTCCCAGTTAAATTTTTCCGAAATGCTCTCATTCAGACAGCATTTTTAACTTCTGAGACGCCATTTAAGCCTTTTTTTTGCCAAGTTTTTACGATAACGTTTTTGTTTATAAGCCGGCGTGAGAGCCATGACACAAATAAATTTTCTTTTTTTGTTATTGTTATTATTATCACATTTGTTCGACTTCAACCAACATGTAATGAACCAGCTCGATTCGTTGAAAAATAAAAAAGTTTAGATTAAATAAGTGGATGAAATTGATCAGACAGAGATGCAACCAACACGAAGAAGAACAGATTCTCAAAATCTGACAGATATAGATAAGATATATAGGTAACAAGCATCCAGAATGTAATTAAGTGTAAGAACAGGCACTAGTTTAGAGCCAGATAAACTACAAAACGCCACAAATGAGCCAGAAACATCCCACTATGCTCCAGATTCACAAGAACGATGCTATTTCATGTGCTCTTTAAGTGCAAAGAATCAAAAAATGTCGGGTTAAGATCGATTTTTTATGGAAGCTTTCTACAAACCTCTAAGAAATCCAAAGTCCAAAAACGTCACACGTCTGAAAAACTACAGCCGACTTGTAGAGAACATCGAGTTACATATGCGTGCCAAGATAGAGCCTAAACGGACACAAACTTCAGGGTCAAAAGCCTACTTAACTGTTTGGTAAAGAGCTCGTATGAGTGCGTTATCATTTATTTCCTGAGAGGAACGAATTATCTAAGACGTACATCCGATAGCCCGTTAAAAGTTAGTAGTAGATCATAGTTCTCTCTGAAAATATCTCACACACTAGGGAGCAAAATTCAAAAAATGAGCTAAATGATAACGCAATCATCCTTCGTTTGATGAAGTTTTTCAGACGGCCTATTTACACTAGAAAGAAAGATAAAGGCTTAGTAACCAGCCTTGAATAAAGTCCATTTGATGGAGATTCTTTTCATGCCATAGATTCATAAAACGGTTTAGGACGGTCTGCTGACAATCTTCTATTTTATATGATCAAAAACACAACTGTAGGATTCACTGCTAGAAAATATTTCGAGTACTCGCTCTCTCTCAAAATGAAGGGATGGAAAAACAAAATTCATATTCATATAGAATAGAATGTGCTCTGCAAAATAGCTATCTTGGATTTGGCTATCTTGAAGCTATCTTGAATCTCAAATTCAACTTTGATCATGCAGGTTGACCGTTAGCTGGACAGACTGACTAATAACCAACAGTGTTTTTGTATACCATTATAATAAACAAGTTTGAAAATGAAATAAAACTTACTGCATCAAGAAACCTTCGATTTTAAAACAAACTAGCAGTCAATTGATACATCAGCAATAAACAACATCTATGTATATACGATCAAGAATGAAAATTGAAGTGGAATCTTAGTATAGGGGTGAATATGAATAACATATTCTTCCAACCAGAAACAGAAAAAAGTTGTATTTGTTTTTCGTACGATATGAGCAAAAAACTGTCACTTAACGACAGTTAAAAATATACATGTGTGTGCATAACTACAGACATGAATAACTACGTTTACAACTATGGGATATACTGCCTATTCATATACTATAGTAAAACAACGTATAAAAAGTTATGAAAAGATCCAGCGGCCATACTGTCTACTATGAACATATATCTGCAATAAGCTCACAATTATACTGTGGTACATTAAGTCGTCTACACCTCTTAACGTTAAAACAAGACATTATAGGAATAAAAGTAATATTTAGAACAAAGTTTAACAGAATACAGATTCTTATGGTACTCACTGTAGAGCATTTATTGTCATATTTCTGAGATTGTCTTCTAATAGCATAGTTCATTTTGTAGAGTAGAGGTTTCTCTACAAAGTACGCCGTTCAAACGTGCCTGGACCTTTAAGCTTGAGTTTTGACTAGCGTTTTACGAAAAAATCCAACTTTTTTAATGTTCATCGTTTTCATTTTTTTAAATTTCTGCGCCTTTGATGGTGATCTACAGAGGTAAAAAATGTTAGATCCTGTGGAGCTTTTCAAGCTTGCCCGATTGATGTATAATTCAATATGTTTAAATAAAATTTAATATTTACAGTAAAGGAAGGAAGAAAACATGCGATTATGGAGAATTTTCGATGGTATTTTTTTCGAGAAAATTTCGTCTGCATGAGGAAACCTTTTCAACAGTTAAACAGCTTTGGATTAATAGGTAAATTTGCGTGGAGAATATGAAATCGCAACACAGCGAGTGAAACATACACGAAAAGTATTGAATTCTCTTAGACTTTAGTAAAATAGAGGAAGACATCTTTCCCTAGTAGCTGCCTGCGTTAATAGACTCAGAACTGGATTTCAATGGTCGCAACATATGAAGGGGACCACTACGTCACATCATTTTTTAGTATGTAGTACCTTCCTAAGAAAGATATTTCGGCTTATTTACTTAACTTTACCGTTATTTGAGTTATTCAGTTCTTTGTAAAAATGAAATGCTATTATTGTAGAACAAAAAGAAGACATTTTTTTAGGAGTACATATTCTTGCGTAGGAGACATATTCTTTTCTTCCTTTTTAAATTCACGAATAATATATATATATATAAAGTCAACATGTTCATTTTTC